CCGCGGGAGCTCCCCTCCAGCCCCGGCCCCGCAGGTGGCCGCCTGCCTGCTGCTCTTTCTGGAGGAGGAGGACGCCTTCTGGATGATGTGTGCCATCATCGAGGACCTGGTGCCCGCCGCCTACTTCAGCACCACCCTGATGGGCGTCCAGACGGACCAGCGGGTCCTGCGCCACCTGATCGTGCAGTACCTGCCTCGGCTGGACACGCTGCTCCTGGAGCACGACATTGGTGAGGGGGCGGGGGGCAGCTCCCCGGGGGGGGGGAGGCGGGGCTCCCCGGGGTGGAGCCACGGGGTGCGGGTGGCAGCTGCCCGCCTCTGTCCCCCCCAGAGCTGTCACTCATCACCGTACACTGGTTCCTCACGGCCTTCGCCAGCGTGGTCCACATGAAGCTGCTGCTGCGCATCTGGGACCTGTTCTTCTACCAGGGCTCGCTGGTGCTCTTCCAGACCACCCTGGGCATGCTTCGGATGAAGGTGCCCGCCTGCAGCCCACGGGAGGAAATGGGCCCACAGGCAGGCTCCGGGGAAGGCAGATGAGCAAACGCGCCCTAGTTCAATGACCTGCCCAAGGTCACAGAGCAATGAAGGGTCAGAGTCGGGACTTGAACCCTGGTCTACCCAGCGGGGCTTGGTGTGCAGAGCCGGTTTTGGCGGTTCTGTCTTCTCCACTCAGTGACTGACAGGCTGGCTGATTGGGGGGGAGGGGCGGAGGTGGAGGCCCCCCTGGGCTCCCCAGCCACAGCAGCTAACGATGACCCGCTCAGTCAGCATTTGTATGACATTGGAAGGTTTGCAAAGCACTGAACAGATGTCTCCTTTTATCCTCACAACTCTGGGAGATGAGTACTGCTGTTATGCCCATTTTACAGATTGAAAAACCGAGATAGGAGTTAAGTGACATACTCAAGGTGCTACGCTTTGCAAGCGTCTGAGGCACCATTTGAACTGGAGTCTCTCTGCCTTCAGGCCCAGGCCCTGTGAGAAGTCGAAGCTCTGTGGCCAACAGGGGGGATCTTCCTTGGTCCGCCCCTCCCCCGTGTCCCCGGGACCCACCTTCACCTTCCTCTCCCTCTGGCTGCAGGAGGATGAACTGATTCAGTCGGAGAATTCGGCCTCCATCTTCAACACGCTTTCGGACATCCCCTCACAGATGGAGGACGCAGAGGTGCTGCTGGCTGAGGCCATGCGCCTGGCTGGCTCCCTGACCCACGCGGCTGTGGAGACCCAGCGGCGCAAGCACCTGGCCTACCTCCTCGCTGACCAGGGCCAGCTGCTCAGCCCCAGCGCCCCCTGCAACCTCACCAAGGTGACCGAGGACACGTGGCCTCCCCTCGGGGCTGACTCCCTGGCTGGTAGTCCGGGCCCAGCCCCTGACCCACGCTGTGGGCACTTTTCTGTAGGTGGTGCGACGCAGAACCCAGCACAGGAAGTCAGGCATCGCTGCCCTGCTCTTTGGTGAGTCCAACGGGGCGGCGGGGAGCTGGGCCAGGAGGCCCCTCTGCCCCTGGAGAAGAGGCTGCAGCCCTCACCGCCACCCCTGTGGTTTCCAGGGGATGAGGACCTTGAAGCTTTGAAGGCCAAGAACATAAAGCAGACAGAGCTGGTGGCCGACCTGCGTGAAGCCATCCTGCAGGTGGCCCGCCACTTCCAGTGCGTGGATCCCAAAAACGGCAGCGTGGTGAGTAGGAGAGGGGAGGGAAAACCTGCTGCTGGGGGTCCTCGGTTTCCCCTGGGGAGCCTAGGGTATCACCTCCCTCCTTCAGGTGGGGCAGAGGGTCCAGCGTCTGGCGCCTCGGGGGGGTATGGGAGCCCCAGACCTGTGCCTGGCAAGGGAGCAGAGTGAGGCAGACGCTGGGCCTGGGCAGGAGCTCCTTCCTCTTGGACCTTGGCCCAGTGCCTGGCACCTAGTAGGTGCTTATTAAATATTGACTTGTCAGATGATCTCGGTGGTAGGGGAACTTCCAGATAAGGAAGATCCCTCCACCAATGCAGGGCTCAGTGAGTTGCCTGGGATTTGCTCAGGGTCCCATGGCCAGCACCAATCAAAAGAGGGCCAGTTCTTCCTGGCCGTGTCCATGTCCCATCGGGGCTACGTTTTCTTCGTGGCCTTTCCCAGTGCGTGCATGTGGGGAAGCCTCTGGCAGGTGGCAGTGAGAGGGCAGGGGGTTCAGGCCGTGACTTTCCCGCCCCTTCTGGGGGCTCTGAACAGGAGCTGACCCCAGACTATACCATGGAAAGCCACCAGCGGGACCACGAAAACTACGTGGCGTGTTTCCGCAGCCAGCGGCGCCGGGCAAAGGCCCTGCTGGACTTTGAGCGCCATGATGATGACGAGCTGGGCTTTCGAAAAAACGACATCATCACGGTGCGAGCAGGGGGCAGTGGACGGTGGGCACTTGTTCCTGGGGGGGCTTGGCCCAACCCCCAGGGTGTGACCAGGCACCCTGTCTCCTTCCCCTGTAGATCATATCGCAAAAGGACGAGCACTGTTGGGTGGGGGAGCTGAATGGACTGAGAGGTAAGGGCTGCGGGGAGCTGAATGTGGGCCCAGGCTGGCTGAGTGGCTTAAGCACAGAAGCCCTTTCTGCCTTCCTGGAAGGCTAGGGAGATGTGCCCGGAGCTGGGCGGGTGTCTGGGTGCAGCCCCCGTCTGCAGCTGCCACCTGTGTGCAACGCTGGCCAGAGGACAGCTCACAGGCCCACGTGGGTTCTGTGCCTCTCCCACAGGCTGGTTTCCTGCCAAGTTTGTGGAGGTCTTGGACGAACGCAGCAAAGAGGTAAAAGGCTGTGGCTGAGGAGGGGTCATCTCTGGAAGCTCCTTGGCCTGGTCACCAGGGGCAGATCCCTGGGTTTGACCTTATGGTGCAGGAACTGGAGATGCATGACTATGGGAGAGCCTGGGCTCGGTCAGCCCCATTCCTAAGTCCTGTGGGATGACCTGGGCCTCACTCACCTCCCCCTCCCTCCTGGCTGCAGTATTCTGTGGCTGGAGATGACTCTGTGACCGAGGGTGTCATGGACCTGGTGCGAGGGACCCTCTGTCCTGCCCTCAAGTCGATATTTGAACACGGCCTGAAGAAACCATCACTGCTCGGGGGGCCCGGGCCACCCATGGCTGTTTATTGAAGAGGTCAGAGTGGGGTAGGGACCCCAGGAGGGATCTGGGGAGGGCCTGGGCATGGGAGTGGTCCCTGGGGCTGACCTTTCCCTCCCCCTTCCCCTCCCTGCAGGCGGCCGGCCGTGAAGTGGAGCGGGATTTCGACTCTGTCTACTCTCGACTTGTTCTCTGTAAAACCTTCAGGTAACAGCTGTTCTCCTCCAATAGTGCCCAGCCTGGCAGGGGCTTCCGGGTCCCCTTCCCACGCCAGCACCCCACCCCCTACCCCTGGGCTAATGCTTCTTCTGTCTTCTCCAGGTTAGACGAAGATGGAAAAGTCCTCACCCCCCGAGGAGCTGCTCTATCGGGTACGTAAGTGACCCGCGGCCTTGGGCCAACGTCCCCTCCCTGCGCAGGGGGGTTGTGGTCTGGGCCAGCCTCCTCTCCTCCTCCACAGGCCGTTCAGTCTGTGAACATGACTCATGATGCTGCCCACACTCAGATGGATGTCAAGCTCCGCTCACTCATCTGCGTGGGTCTCAAGTGAGTGGGGCCAGGGGAGGGGCTGGGGGTGCCAGGACAGCTCCTGGCCGCCCTGCAGCTCGCTCTGCTTCCCCCAGTGAACAGGTGCTGCATCTGTGGCTAGAGGTGCTCTGCTCGAGCGTGGCCACGGTGGAGAAGTGGTACCATCCGTGGTCCTTCCTCCGAAGCCCGGGCTGGGTCCAGATCAAATGTGAGCTTCGGTGAGTGGCCCCCTCCTCTGGGTGGGCAGGAAGGAAGAGGGGCCGTGGCACCTGGGGAGGGCTTCACTTCTGCCTCTCCCTCCACCCCCAGAGTCCTCTGCTGTTTTGCCTTCAGTCTCTCGCAGGACTGGGAGCTTCCCATCAAGAAAGAGGTGAGTGGCTTAAGGGAACCGAGCCTCTGTCTATGGCCATGGAGCCCGTGAGCTGGGGGTCAGCAGGGTAGGTCTGTGCCTCTTAGTGGGCTAAGAGGGTTGTGGTCTATTTGCAGGAGAAGGAGAAGAAACCTTTGAAAGAAGGCGTGCAAGACATGCTGGTGAAACACCATCTCTTCAGCTGGGATATAGATGGGTGACCGACAGGGGTGGGGGGAGGAGGGCAGGGCCGGCCCAAACCCTTGTTTAGTAACAGACCCATTTGCTATTTCGTCCATCTTTGCTCAGGTGGAAACGTTAGGAGAGCCAGGGAGGACAAATACTCGGGCAACAGTGATAGGACCTTTATTCTTTTGGTTTATAAATAAACAGCATAATGTGAAAGCACCTGCTTTTTAAAAAAACCACACCACACGGCCTCCAGCTCCTGACGCATCCTTTGGGGGGAGGGTTGGGGAAGGAGGAGTGGCCATTCTTTCTCCTCTGCCCCCACCCCCTCCAGGAGGTGCCTTGAGGTAGGACATCACCTTAAAGCGCTAGTGTGTTTTTATTTATAAAAAACCAAAAAAACCTTTCCCCCCAGCTGTTCCAACCAAAATCCAGCCCCGGGGTTGGGGGTGGGGGGGGCAGTGAGGGGACCCTGGGCCCAGCCTGGCTCTGCCCTTCTAGTGTTTGCTGCAATGAGGCAAATGGACAGAAGACACGGGCACCACGCCCCAGAGCACCTCTGCCCTCGTGGCACTGATAATAGGGCAAAGGTGCAGGGCTGGGGCATGTCCAGTCAAAAAGCAAGCCTGGGTGAGGGACTCCCTGGGACACACCCCAGGGGCTGCCACGGCCTAGTGGGGAAAGGCTAGGGAGCCTCAGCCACCTCTCACCAAAAATAGAGAGAGATGTATGTATAGTATATATATATATATATATATATATATATATGAATATATGAATATATATATATTCATATATATACACACACACACACACATATATATATATATATGTGTATATATATATATATATATATATATATATATATATAAAATATTGAGCTATTTACAGACCTGTACAGAACATTTCTTGTTTGTACAACCGCTGTACTAGGGCTGCACTAAGATGGCCCAGGGGGTTTCCTCCCTGAGGAGAAAGGGCTGGGAGCTGGGCAGGCAGGTCTGATCCTCTCCCAGTCCTGCCCTGGATAAAAACATGGCACCTCAGGCCTCGAAAATGGAGGCCACATAGCAACTTCCCCAGCCTGGCCCGATGCCCCCAGCTGTGGTCCCAGACGGGAGGGGGCAGCCGGCGGCAGGGGAAAAGGCCGACAGCTGCCCAGAGCGCCCACTCCCAGGGCGGTCAGGCCATCCCTTCCTTCTTCCCTGGAAGCTGGAGGCTACAAGCAGGAATCCCAGTGTAGGTGCAGATCATGGCCATCCAAGAAGTCTGTGGAGAAGAGGCTGGGGGCCATGTTGCTAGGGGGCGCCAGGCTGAGGACAGGCCCCCCCGACAGTTCTAGCCAGTCCATGCTGTCCAGATGGCCCTCGGCCAAGTCCAGACCCAGGCTGGTGCTGGGCTCATGGGCAAAGTGCAATTCAGAAGTATCCATAGGGGAAGGCGGGTGGTCCAGGATGGCAGAGCTGCTCAGCATCTCACTGTGGAGGTCATCAATGAGGGACAGGGGCTCCGGTCCCTCCTGCCCCCCTGTCAGCAGGGGCAGCCCCGTGCTGCTCTCCAGAAAGTCTTCCAGGCGGCCGGGGGCAGGGCTGGTACCCAGGGGCAGGGGCACCTCCGGAGGAGGCTGGGGGGTCACTGGGGAAGGGCAGGGCAGGGCGGGGCTTGAATCCTTCCCCGGTGAAGGCGAGGACTCCTTAAAGTCAGCTGAAATTTCTGCCAAGAAAAAGAAAGGAGTCAAGGAGGTGGATGTGGCCAGTGAAGGGCAGCTGGTCTGCTCACTGAGGACTAAGCTGTGGCCCAGAGTGCTCCCCCCCTCCCAATCCCCTGGGGACCCCAGAGTCTGAAGGACACACCCCGAGCTAGCCACACCTTCACCAAGGGGGAGGGGAAGTGCCTGCCCTCACCTCCACTCTGGATGAGGATGTCAAAGAGATCATCCATCTGCTGGCTTGAGGAACCATTTTCCTGAGGAGAGAAAAGGGAAACAGTGGAAACGTGTGGCCTGCTGGGCCAGGCTCTCGGCCCCGTCCATCCAAGTGGCCAGTTCTGACAGCTGCTGTGATGGGCGCCTTCCCTGGCCCAGGGACTCTGCCCCCAGCCCTGCTGGATTTCTCGGGCCCACGTCCACCCACACTCACCTCCTGGGGCTTGGGCTGCTGCTTCACAGCCTCATCATAGCCAGGGGGCTCTTTCTTCACCAGGGTGGGCAGGCGGCTGGCCCCAGGAGCTGCCTCAAACAGTGTCTGAGACTGGTGGTCCAGCTCCATCTGGGAGGTCTGGAGGGCTGCTGGGGAACTGGGCTCTGAGGAGGCCTGGGAAGACAAAAGGAGACATCTGTGAGGAGAAGGCGAGCCGAGGATGGCCTTGGAGGCGGGGCGGACGTCCCCTCAGGAAAGAAGGGGCACGTACCTTCTTGGGCAGGCTGCTGGGCGTGGCCACACTTGCTTTCAAGGCAGTCTTGTGGAAGCCATTTGGAAAGAATGACTGCAGGCCAGGGGGGACTGAGAAGGGCAGGAGTGGGGACGGTCCCGGACTGGGCGGACCCTGCACACAGACAAGGAGAAGGGTCAGCAGCCCCTCAGCGACCAGTGCTCAGAAGAAGCCAGAGTCACATGCCTAAGCCTGCCCATCCTGGGCCCTGAGCAGCAGCTGCAGACGAGTTGTGGGGCAGGGGCGGGAGAGAAAGAGAAACACTGAGTAGAAGTCCAAAGTCAAGCCTTCATTTCAAAAGCGAGGAAACGGTCCAGACAGAGGGATTTGCCCAAACCCCACAGGTTTTAAATAAGAAATTCAAGCATAAATTGTGGCCAAGATTTGGTGGCCCTACAGGAGTCTGCTCAGCGTCCCCATCAGCAGGCCCCACACGGCCAAGCTCCTTGGGATCGGAGCCTGCAGCTGACAAAAGAAAAGACTGCACCGGGCGAGGCGTCTGATGAAGGGAAGGGGACGAGGAGACGCTGGCCACAACCCGTCCTCAGAAACCAGACTCTAAAGAGCCAGCCTGCAGGGAGGGGCCTGAGCCACCTTTACAGGCACTTAGGGGCTAATCCTTCCACATCTGTTAATAGCTCCTCGGTGCCAGACAATGTGTGTACAAACGAACAACGTGCAGAATAAACAGGAAGTCTAGCGGAGGCCAGGCCTGGGAATCCCAGGGGACTGGCCAAGGCTGACCCCACTTGCAGGAAGCCAGGGAGAGTGTCCCAGGCCTAGGGAGCAGTCAGAGAGAAGGCCTGGAGCCAAGAAATGGAGGGTCTTGTTCAGGAAGAGCCAGGAGGCCAGCGTGTCAGAAGACTGGAAACTGAGGAAGGGGCCAGTTCTGAAGAACTCTGACTACCAAAAAGCATTTTGTGTTTACTCCTGGAGGTGACAGGGAGCACTGCCGTTTACTGAGTAGGGGGTGACATGGTCAGACCCGAGCTTTAGTGACTGGACAGACTTGAGCCAGGTAGCACCCCACCCCCACCCCAAAGCAGGCTACCACTGTCCAGGCATGAAATGATGAGGGCCTGCACCAGGGCAGGGACAGGGTCAGAGGAGAAAAGGAGGCATATCTGAAAGATGCTGTGAAGTGAAATCAATAGGCTCTGGTAGCCCACTGAATGGGGGGGGGGAGGCAGCCTGTGTGACTCCAAGGATGGGAGCCGGGGGTGGGGATGGGGTGGATCCCGATGTCTACTGGACAACCCGTCTGAGATGTCTGAAAGGCAGCTGGTGGTCAGTGAGAGGTTAGGGCAGGAAAGGCAGAGACAGCCATTTCATCCATAGGAGCCAATGACCTCGCTCCATGTGCCCAGAACAGAGCCCTGAGGGCCCTCAGGGTTAGAGGAAGTGGTCTAGAGGGGGCTGCGGCAGGCAAAGGACACTGTCCTCAGGAGACAGTGAGAGGTCATACTGTAGGACCGACCTTCTGAGCTCCGAGGAGACTCAAGTAGGCCCTGGTCTGGGCTCCACGAGAGCCGGACAAAGTTGCCGTTTAAAAGGCTGATGAGCTCTGACCTTGTGCCTTCCGCCCTCCGATCCCACAGAGGAGGGGAGGGGATCAAGCTCTCACCTGGGAGGGGCTCTGGCCGCCGCCAGCTTCTCCAGGCTCCTCGTTGTCGGCCGAGTCCTCCGTGTCCCGCTTGGTCACGGTGAGGATGATGTGAGTCCCTGTGGCATCCGTGATGAGCCCTGGGGGAGGCCCTGGGAGGAGGCTGCTCAGGTCTGGTGCCAGGAGGCAGCTGGGAGGCTCCTCCTCAGGCAGCGCCTCCTGTTTCACCGTCACCGCCAGCACCGGTGCAGCGCTGGGCTCCGCGGATGGCCCCGTGAGCTGGCAGCTGGAGAAGCCGTCTTCCTGCTTCACCTGAGCCAGGAGGGCGGGGGCCGGCGGACGGGGAGCCGCCTGCTGGGCGCGCTTCTCTTGCTCCAGCTGCAGCCTCAGCATCTCCACCAGCTGCTGCTTCTGCTTGAGCATGCGCGTCAGCTCCTCGATCTGCTTGTCCTTCTCCTGCAGCATCTGGTCCTTGTCACGGCTCTCAAGGTCTCGGCCGAGCCGCTCGGCCCGGGCAGTGGTGCTCTCCTCCTTCACCAGGATCTGCACCGGGGACGCCTGCAGGGTGAGCTGCGTCAGGGGCGAGGTCACCATCTCCCCAAAGGCGTCGCCACCAGCACCGGTGGAGTTCTCATCGCCTGTGCTGAGCAGGGAGCGCTCTGAGGGCGTCGGAGACACCGGGGGCGTCGAGCCCGTGCTGCCGAACTTCACCATCCCGTTGCTGGTCACGGTGGCCACGACGACCTCGGTGGGCGCCAGGCCCGCGGCCATCAGGGCGGGGCCCGCACTCAGCCGGGCCGCCGGGAAGGCCACCACCACTTCCCCGGCTTTGGCGAGGATGGGGGCGGCCCCAGGCTTGGGGGCTCCGGAGGCGGAGCCGGGGACCCCCGCGTGTTCCTGATATGCCCGGAGGCGCTCAATCAGGTCTGTCTTGGTGCCCGAGACAGGGAGAGCTCTCATCTTCAGCTCCTGCTTCAGCTCGGCCACCTACATGGACCATAGGGAAGGGGTCACCAGGAGGTCCTGGGCAGCAGCAGCTCCCAGGCAGGACAGTTGTGGGAACCCAGGGGCTCCCGTGGCCAAATGCCAACCACGTCCCACAGCACCTTCCATCCACTGTCCCATAGGTCCCATCTGGGTTTCCCCTCGGTTTAGGCTGCTCTGACCCTCACCTGGCAGGTTCTGTGTTTGTAATGCAGGACAGACAGAACCCCTAAAAGCTGGAGCCAACAGGGAGAGGTGGGAGGCCTGGACCTGAACCTCTGCTCTGTCTCTCACATGCTGTGTTCCCTCCCCAGGCCTCAGTTGGCCACAATAAAAATAGGGAGACATGAAGCTGGTTTAGGGGGGCTGCCAATCAAAGCTGCACATTTTGTGATTAAAGACATTTATCCCAAGTGGGTTCTTTCATCCTCCAGACCAATGAAAGAGGAGAGATGCCCTCCCCAACACCAAGAACACACTCTGGAGAAGAGCCTGGGACCAAGGCCTGGGACTGCTTCCCGGCCCACGCAGGCCCTGGGGCAGAGGCGGGGGCTAAGGCTGGAACTAAAGAAAGGCTAGAAAAGAATTTTACCTTCATGTCATCCAGGTTGGAGGGAAGCGGGCCCAGTTTGCCAGTCACGGAGTTCTGGCGCACAAGGCCGGTGGGCCCCGGTGGGCCAGAGGCTGAGCTGCCCAGGGCAGCAGGGACAGCACGTAGAGAGGCAGGGCTGCTGCTACCTTGGGCCTCACCCACGGGCCTGGGGGCAAGGAAAGAGTCAAAAATGAAAACCTCCCAGATGCCAAAGCTCCCCCTCGTTCCTCTCCTGGATGGTGCTGGGCACAAAGGGGCCCAGAGCTGGCCTGCAAGAGGCTCAGCAGGGCTCCCAAGCTCCCTCACCCACAGGCCTCACAACCCAAAGGTGGTGACACTAGGGCTGCTGGGAGGGAACCTGAGCGCAGGGCGGAGTGAGGGCTGGGCAGGGGCCTCACTTGGGCGGGGCGGGCAGGATGGTCTGGTAGTTGTAGTGCTGCTGCTGCTGGTTGAGGATCTGGAGCTGGAGGAAGAGCTGCTGTTGCTGCAGGATCTTGGCGTAGGAGGAGTCCATGGGGGGCGCCCCTCTGTCCTGCTTCTGGTCAGGGGGGATGTACTGATGGTACTTGAGTTTTTTCACTTTGGGCTTCAGATCCTTGGCCTTCTTGCTGCGTGGGGGCTTCTCCCCTGGGGCCTTGGGCTGGCTTTGCTGACAGGAGGGCAGGAGAGGGAGGCGCGTGAGCCCGAGCCCACTCTGTCCTTTCCACCCCACGCCTGCCAAAGTCCACTCTGAGACTATCTAAAGGACTTCGAGGACCGGATGACCCACAAACCCCCGAGCTGCGGAGGGAGGGAACGCAAGGAGGTGAAAGCCACAGCGCTGCCCTCAAGGGGATGACAGTCTAATGAGGGAGAGAGGGAGAGACTCGACTACGATTCAGTGCCAGCAGAGTTCGGAGGAGCCTGAGAGCTTCCAGAAAGGCGTTACTTTTAGCTGGAGCCATCACAGAAGACTTCAAAGAGGAGGCAATGCTGGCAGAAAGGGGCCATGGTGGCCAAGGCACCGAGACAGCAGGAGGAGGGCAGGGGGGCTGCGACAAGGCCGGCTGAGCTGGAACACCCAGAGTGAGGCAGAAGTGCAGGTGCCAAAGACTCTGTGAGAGTCTCCCCCTACCCACTCCACCATCAAAAGGAGCCTAGGTGCCTGAATGTGGAGGAAGAACAGAGGCCTAGGATGACACAGAGTTAGAAGCTGGAGCACCCGGTGAAGGGCAGGAAAGAAATGGGGAAGGAAAAAGGGGCAGGCTGAAGAGGGAAGGTGCAGCTCAGCTCGGGACCTCAAGTATCAGCAAGACATCCAGGGAGAAGGGCAGCCACAGGCAGGCAGGGATGCAGGGCTGGAGATCACAAGAGGCCAGGATGGGACACATGAACTTGGGAACTCATGTCCTCTGTGCCATAACTGAGGGCCCGAGAACAGATGAGACTGCCTCTCAGGGAGGGGCCGTGGAGAGAAGACTGACAAGGGCATGGAGGGAGACACGGGGCCTCCTGACAGGCACCCAAGGGATCACTTAATGGTGGAATCAGTGGTGCAGGGTGGAAGACATGTCTCCCACCTCCCACTACATTACAGCATCAGTGGCCAGGGAAGGCAAAGGAGATGGGCTGGAGGACTCAAGCACAGGGCAAAGGAATTTAGAAGGAACAGGATGGGTAAAGACACAGAGCTGCCAAGGTGGAAGGGAAAGGAACCAAGACCGGTCTGGTTAGATTGTCATCATCGGATGATGACCTCTGTCATCAAAACCAACTCATGGCAGGGCCGGGCTCATGGGCAAAGGTCTGAAAGTGTTAGTGGGGGGAGCTGACTAGTCCAGGAGAGGCGAGTTGCCTGGAGATCATCTGGCCAGACTCAAAAGCAATTTTCTCCACAAAAATCACAGACCAGTGGTCAGTTGGCTATCCGAAGGCCTCCAGTCACAAGGAGCCTTCTCCATCCAATGCAGTTCACTCCACTCTGGGCAGCTCTAACGGTCAGAAGGTTTTTCCTTTGAGCCTAAGTCTGCCTTTCTGCAGCATCTTTCATTGCTCTGAAATTTGTCATCCGGAGCAAGGTGAATACAAGATGACCTTGAACTTCTCAGTAAATAAGAAGGGCCAATGTTATCTACCAAGCACACAAGGGATTGAGGAGTGTGTAAATCGTTGGGCAGAACTCTGGTGGGGTGTCAGTGAGAGCAGCTGTGAACCGCTAGCAAGCCCCAGAGCATGCGTTAATTGATAAACACACTGGCCAGGTGCCAGACTCTGGGCTAAGCACTGGCATTACAAAGAAAGCCCAAAGGCAGTCCAAGCTCGCCAGAAGCTCACGGTCTGAGTGGAGAGACAACATGCCAACAAGGAGGCATGACACAACAGAGACAGGATAAAGAGGACACAACGGGGAAAGGCACTCGCATTAAGAAAGGACTGAGAAAGGCTTCCCATAGAGGAATTTTAGTTGGGACTTGAACGAAGTCAGGAAAGCCAGGAAGTGGAGATGAGGAAGGGGAGAATTCCAGGCATGGAGGACAAAGACTGTCTGGAGCTGACACAGTATCTTGGGGGAGGAACAGCCAGGAGGCCAGCGTCACTGGATCTCAGACTGGTTGTATGGCTGTAAGAGAAGGGGTGGGGGGCCGCAGTTATGAGCAGCTAGATGAAGAGAGCACTGGACCTAGAGTCACAAAGACCTGAGTTCAGATCCACGCTTAGACACTTACTAGCTAGGTTACCACTGTGGGCAAGTCACTTAACATCTATCTGTCTCAGTTTCCCCATCTATAAAATCAGGATAACAACAGCACCTACCTCCCAAGGTTGCTGTGAAGATCAAATGGGATAACTGGAAAAGCACTAGCACAGTGCCTGGGACACAGTACTACATAAATATTAGCGATAATGATGTTGATGACAACGAAAGGCTTTGAATATCAAACAGAGCATTTTGTATTTCTTCCAAGAGACAACAGGAGCCACTGGAGTTTACTGAGCTGCAGGCGGCGTGATCAGACCCACACTCTGGTGGCTGAATGGAGGATACTCTGGAGAGGGGAGAGACTTGAGGTGGGCAGACCCACCTGCGGCTACGGCAATAGTCCAGGCATAAGGTGATGAGGGCCAGCAGCAGGGTGGGGGCACTGTCAGAGGAGACTGCAAAGGTCAAATGGACCAGAGAGGCTGCTGAGGTGAAATGGAGGAGAGAAGAGTGGAGGTGAAATGGAGGAGAGATGCTGCCGAGGTGAAACAGACCAGAGATGCTGCGGAGGTGAAAGGGACCAGAGACGCCGCCGAGGTGAAAGGGACCAGAGACGCCGCCGAGGTGAAAGGGACCAGAGACGCTGCCGAGGTGAAAGGGACCAGAGACGCTGCTGAGGTGAAAGGGACCAGAGACGCTGCAGAGGTGAAAGGGACCAGAGACACTGCTGAGGTGAAAGGGACCAGAGACGCGAGGTGAAAGGGACCAGAGACGCTGCCGAGGTGAAAGGGACCAGAGACGCTGCCGAGGTAAAAGGGACCAGAGACGCGAGGTGAAAGGGACCAGAGACGCTGCCGAGGTGAAAGGGACCAGAGATGCTGTGGAGGTGAATTCGACAGGTCTTGGCAACAGCTTGGACATGGAGGGGTGAAAGACCATGAGGAGTCCAGGAGGACTCTGAGGATGTAGAGAAATGGAACAGTGGTTAGGATCCAAGGAGGAGCCTGGCAAGGACAGGGGTGGGGTGGAGTGGAGAGACTGATAAGGGTGCTAGCCAGGGCATTACTGGAATAGCTGAGCAGATGCTCCAGGTACAGCAGCAAGGAAAATGAAGACAGAAGGACAGAAGGGAGCTGATGAGCCAGGAGACTAGAAGGAAAAGAGACTTGGGCACTGAAGGCCACCAAGAGGGTGAAGAGCTAGTTCAACAGGAGTAAGGGAATGGGGAAGGTAGATGTGGTCAGGAAAGGAGCTCAGAACTTCAGAATTTGGAAGTTAAACACGAGCACGAAGCAGGGCCAAGATGTGGCCCGACTTTGCATCCACAGCCTGTCTCCCTCTCACCTATATGAGGCAGTCAACAACTCTTTCTGCTAAGTATCCACTGCATCTCCTCCTGTCCCTCCCACAGATGTTTGTACCCATTATTTTTCCATGGGCCTTAGAGTCCTTCTCAGAAAGAGAAAGTCCAACACCAAGAGTTCTCGTGCCATCAGCTCCATGCGAGGGTGAAACCCCGCCAGAGATCTCTTCCCTCCCTCCCCCTTCCGTCTGACCCTGACACCCAAAAGTGGCTGCTGGTACCTTGATGAGTGTCGGGGTGGGCTTGGCAGTGGGAGCAGTACCTCCATTAGGGAGGCTGGGTGGCAGCAAAGGTGGAGCTGGCAGAGGAGACAGCTGCTCTGCCAGGAAAGCAGGTTCACTGGAGTCGGGGCACACTTGGAGCTGGGACACCACCTGAAGGGGAAGGAAGAATATGAGGACCAGCCTGAGAGCCCACAGACCCAGGAGGTCTGTCCACACTCTGGAGGATAGAGCACCATGGCAGCCAGAGGACTGGTCAGCACTGGCTCAGCGTAGACGGGGGAAGTGGGGTCAGAAGCAGCAGAAAAGCAGACGGAACCCTGCTGGCTAGAGAGACTCTGCTGGCAATGACTTCCCTAGCCAGTCTGAAGTTGTCCTCAATGGTCTGTGATAAACTGGCCAGGAGGACTGAGAGGGGGGCTGGGGTCACAACCCATGTATTTAGAGCTGCTTCCTTACAGCCTCCTTGAAAGGTCGGTAAAGTGTTATTACCTCAGTTTGACAGAAGAGGAAACTGGGGCTGTGTGAGGGGAGTGTCCTGGCCCAGACAGGATTTGGGTCTGGGTCTCCTGACTCTAAGGCCTCAGAGGGTCATGGATCCAGAGCTGGAAAAGACTTGGAGGCCACAGAGTCCAGCTCCTTCAGAGAAAGAAACTGAAGCCCAGAGAGGGGAAGGGCTTCGCTCAGGGTCAAACAGCAAGCCAGTGTCTGGAGGAAAAGATCTGAACGCCAGGCTTCCTGTTCCAGGTCTCTATCCACTAATGGCACGGAGGCAGAAGGATGGCTGGAGGATCAAAACTGTGCTCATGGCCACCATCAGCAGACTGGGGGGTGAGTGGGCCGGGCACAGGAAGCAGGGGCAGACCACAAAGGCCAGTACCTACAGCCAGAGGCCAGACAGCCTTCGCCACAGCCTGGGCTCAGGCCAACCATCTCCCTCCCCCTCACACAGAAGTCCACCGACACGCCTTCACAGAGCCTCCTAAGCTGGCTTTTGAGGCTACCTGTTCCAGCTGGGGTTTCCTAATGGGGGCAGAAGGAATTACAGGTGCCTTTTACAAATATAAAATTACAAATAAATTACCCACCAGCATAAAGGGACAACTATTTTTAAGACAGTCAAACCTTTCGGGATCACAGAACCCAATGCTTCAAGTTTTAACTATGAAGCCACTCTGGTTCTCAAAGGGGGAGCGACTCTGTCCAGTTCACACAGTACAGTAGCCAACTCTGGCCTGAGGAAGCGGCTGCCGTGATCTCACCTGAGGAGGGGACACAGAAATAGAAGTGGCCAGGGGCTCAGTGCCTCGACCCTCCAGCGGTGATGGTGCCGAACCCTGGGACTCATGGCTGGCTGGCTGCTCAGGGGACAGGGCATCACTGCTGTCCTCATCAAAGGAAGAGTTGTCAGCCACTTTGGGATAATTGACCTGTCCCACTGCAAAGAAAAGCCAGAGTCACGTGTCAGCACAGGGCCAATGAGGGAGGGTGTAGCCCCACTTATCCCAAGAGAGGATGGTAATAGGCCCACAGAAGCCAAGCAATGGCATCCTTTGCTCACCCAGCAGGGGAGGGGCATGGCAACCCCTCCACTTCTTCTTCCCAGGGCAGTCCCAGAAAAGCTCTTCTGGGTAAAAGAGAAATAAAAGTGCCTTTGCATCACCAAGTGCCCCGCCCTGGGAGAGGGGAAGAGCTCTCTGTGTTTTTGTCCCCACTTTCAGTTCCTCATTAAGTCCCTTCTCATTTCCATCTTCTTAGTCGCCTGGAGACCAAAGTCTCTCCAAACTTGGTGGCCTTTTCCTGCCCTCAGGCCTGGAGCCACAACCAGACTTTCATTTGTCTAGAGACTCACATAAACTGCTTTTCCTTCTAAGGAAATGCACAGGGGAACTGGAGCAGGGTGTCACTGAAAGAATCCTCAAGAAAAACCCAAAGGTGCCTCACTCCGATCACACCTTTCCTCAATGGCAACGAGGAGGAGGAGGACGTCTCTTGGCCAGAGGTACAACTTCCCAGCAGCACAGAAAGAGACTCTTCCTCCTCCTCGGGAAAATGATGAGCTCTACAGGCCAGCTGAGTGAGTCTCCTCAAGGGCAAGGAGCAGGCTCAGGAGGCCTCGGCCTGGAAACCCCAGGGCTATGAGGGAAGGCAGAGAAAGTGAACAGGGAACCCAGGCAGAAAGATTCCCACCACAACCTCCGAATCAGGCCAGAGACGCATCAGAGCTGCTGATGGGGGAGAGGGAAGGGGCTGAGACGGACTGACGGCCAGATCCCGCTTATTCCATCTGTGCGCCTCTACAGGACCTGCCCAGAGGGACTCTCACCACTGCAGAGAGGCCAGAGGTGGCCTGCTGGCCATGAACTTAGGTCATTAGGTATAGGGAGGAAACTGTGCAAATCCATGACAAAACATGCAGGTGGCAGCTCTACCCAGTCTCCCTCGGCAAGACCCAGAGAAGGCTCCTCCTAAGGCTCAGGACACAGGGAGGATTCTGCCAAGCTGCCTGCTTCCTGCCCCCATGGCCCGTCCTCCTGCAAGGGCCAGGGTGATCAAGGCAGGGAACTGTGAACCCCATCACTGGCACTGCACCACGGCCTGTTTTCAGGCCTTATCATTTTGCCATCCTCGGGGAGCCTCTGTCCCTAGAGCCTCAGCAGACAGCATAGCAAAGGGCACAAGGATAGGTCCCTGGCATTAGGGGCAAGTGTGCTGGGCTGGGGTGGAGGCTTCTCCTGGGCAGGAATCTAAAAGTCCTTTCTACGCAGAGCAATTCAATCTCACCTCCTTTCACTGCAGAACATGTTGTGTTGGAAGGCTTTTGCACAAGGTGAGCCCTAGAAACTCAGGCCCAGCTCAGGAAGCAGCTGTCAGAAAAACTCCCATGTGCCCACATGTGTACTGTTACTATGTGACCCTACTAGCACAAGAGAGGGTCGTATGGGGAGGGCTTTTTCCAGGACTGAGAACACTGTAACCCTAAGTCTGAAAGTGTCAGGGCTCCCAAGAGATGGCTCAGCAGGGAAGGACAGCGACTCTGCAGAACCCAAGGGCCGGCTCTGCCCATCGTCCTCCTGGAAAGGGAGGACTGACCTGCCCTTCTTTCCATTTCTCTATCAAGCACCAAGAGCCAAGGGGTCTTCGGATGTTGACACTACCAAGGTGCCTCTCAGGGTCCCGAGTCGCCTTGATTTCCTCGCAGATTTGGCTCTTAAGAGCCTTGGCCTTGCCCTGGCCTTTGAGGCCCTGCCCCTCCCCAGCCAGTCAAGCACCTCCTTACCGATGATGGCCTCCTTCAGACTGGACTCCACCGGAAGGATATTCTTCTCCACCAGTTCCATGGGGCCTGGCCGCTGGGCAATCTTCTCGTTGAGGTCATCAGCCAGCCGGGCTCTCTTCAGTTTTAGCTGTTTAGCTTGGAGGGAAGGTTCAGCTGAGGTCTCTGCTCATAAGGAGAGGGGATGAGGCAGCATTAGGACCCCTGGCCCTGTCCTGAGGACATCAGAGCAGCTGTCCTTTCTTTCTGGGAAGGAGCAAGGATAGCTACACACACCCGTCTCCTATTCACCTTGAATTTGAGTGGGTCACAGAACAAGAGTTTGCCAACCTGAAGGCTACCCAGGGACCAAAGCTCCACTGGAATAGAGACAAATTCCTGCCTAAGAAACAGGACATAGCTGCACCCCTGTTGGTGAGCTGGGAAATGGGAGGCCTGGGTTCTGGTCTAGCTCTGCCCCCATTTCGCTATGTGCTTAGACAAGTCATCTCTGCTCTGGGCCTCAGGTAGTCTCATCTGCAAACTAACAGGGCTGGACAGAAAGGCCTTTTACCACCAAAATCAAACAGTTGTTTCTGCAGAGGCCAATCTGCTGCTACTCTTTGGTCCAAACCCTAGCGAGAGACAATGTGGAAGCGATGGCATGGCTAGTGCCAGCTTCTGAAAATCAAGAGAAGTTTCACAGAATGCATTTGTTTTAGTCACATTTGAAGGAAAAGTAAGGCATGGATGGGTAGAGGGGATACAATCAGTACCAAGAAATGGTGGGAGAAAATGGCTAATGAATTGCACAGAAAAAAGAATCAACACCAAAGGCCGGTGCCTCCCTGAGAATTCTAAAGCAGAAACTCTGGTTGAGGCAGCTTGGCGAGGCAGGGTATGAGAGCACGGCCAGCTCTTCAGCCAGAAACATGGAGTAGGAGGAGGAGGAAGTCAGAGGGGAGCAGTGTCCTTGTCAGGGCCCAGCGATTTCCTTCTCTGAACCTTGGGATTCTTAGATCTGTGAAAGGAGGGGCCTGGACCGGCTGAGCTTTGAGGTCTTTCTAGGATTAAAATCCATTATTAATAAATGCTGACTGAATATATTCCTGGGGCAGTTGATCAGAGAAAGTTAAGATTTCTTCTCTTGGATACCCTCCCTTCTACACAAACCTTCCAAAATGTGCATCCTGACCAGCTCTGATCTCTCTGGCCTCGAACGGATCTTCCGTTTCAAATAGTCTTCTGTCTATTAAAGCAAAAGCAAAAAGAAAGAGAAGTTCAAGTCGGGTATTCCAACCTAAGGAAAGCAGCCTGGGCTATGTCACTCGGACGGTTCACAGGCTCCCCCAGGCCTGCCATGGGACCGCTCGGGACTAAAAGGGGCCCACGCTGGCAAGGTCACGTGAAGCCAGTGGCCTCAGCCTCCACCTGCACTTGCTAGCTTAATCCACAGCCCAGTTTTTTCCCCCCCAAGATTCCTTGATTCTCTTAGATTCTGACCGATTTACTGGTGCTGAAACCACACCATTCTAATGTAGTGTCCACAAGCACAGAGATCTCATCTCAAGAGTCTTCCCCCAGGTTATGTCAGCCCCCTCCCAGTGCAGGCCCACCAAGTCCTGGGGCCCCAGGCTCCTGCCTTGATGTCCTCCAACTGAGCTCACCTGCCTTTGTGCTCCGGGCCTGTAGAGCCAGCCAGACTATCTGGAGAAAGCTCAACCCTAATGGCCCCAGCAGACAACTTTGAAAAGCTGTGGCCTTCAGCGCCCTCAGCTCGGGAAGGCCCTGGGCTGCAGCCACAGCTCATATTTTGCCAGCACCTGAAGGCTTACACACACAGCACTTTCTTCACAGCCATTCTGTGAGGGCTGGTACCAGTACTGATGTCTCTACTGCCTAAACAAAGAATTGGAGACTGCAGGAGGACAAATGGCTTCCCTGGAGTCACAGGCCCTCTGACCCTAAGTCCAGAACTCCCTCTGCACTATGATGCTGCCGGTTAAGAAGGCTTTTGGAAATGGAATTGAAAGGTTCCCAGTTCAGCTCCTCAGGCTCTACAGGAAAACAGCTCAGAGGAATGAAGAGAAGGCATCCCAAGCCCCCATCAAGTTTGGCTTCTCGGTACTTGGCTCTGATGTGAAGTGGCAGGTGCATTCTGGACCCTCCCTTTTCCCTCATCACAATGTTGGTCTGGGAATCAAGAGATCTAGGTTTTTCATCTGCCCCAGACAAGGAAGTTCACCATTCTGGGCCTCAGTTTCCCCCCTCTCTAACATGAAGAGGATAGGGCTTTGAAGCATTAAAGAAACATAACTGTAACTGAGACAGTGGGGAAGAATGGAAAGGGTAATGGATTTGGACCCGGTTTGACATTCCTGTCCTGACACCTCAGCCGGGTAACCTTGAACTTTCCTATAGAATATGAATCCCAATCTTGGTGAAGCTTTCACTGTGGAGATGTCAGGAATCATTATGATCTTGCAGTCAAGTGAAAGCTATTTTCAAATCCTCATCACTCAAGAGCCATGGCCTCGGGCTTGGACTGACTCAGCTATGAGCTGGGGGACTCCATCTCAGGCCTTGGACTAGATCAGGACTAGAACCTCAAGGCTGCAGGTTCCCCCCACCCTTGGACTAGATCACCTTGGGGTCTCTTCCAGCACTGCTTCTAGGATTCCTCTCACCCATTTAAAGAATCCATCAAAAGCTCTGGTTGTACACAGCTGTCTCCAAAGGAGCCTCTGGGGCTTCTATCACCCATGTTAAGTTAAGTGAAAGGCAGACCGCGGGAGCCTGTCTAGGGGGTTTCCCCACTGGGCAGCTCGCAAACAAAGACCTTGGCTTTCCAGAGCCTCTGTGAAATCTCTGGCCCCGAGGTGGTCAGGAATCCAGCCCCACAAAGATGCCTGCTCCATGGGACATGGAGGTGGCAGGCTTCAGCTGCTTTATACAAAAGTGCTAACCTGATTAAAGCTTTGTAACCCTTTTTAACCACACCGGCCATGCTGCCAGAGGGAAAGACTACTCAAGAAATGGGGTGAGAAGTGGGATTCAGGATGGGAAGACGGTGGAAGAAGAGTCCAAATTTCTGCATCAACATACTGAGCTGGGTCCAGCTCTCACTCCAAGGACGTTCCATTTAACTGCCCCAGGAAAGTGTGGAAAGGCCAGGATGGGCACTACAAGAGTGCAGGAAAGAAAGACAACTTTAGACCCCGGGCTGGGGCTCCTATCCAAGCAGCAGCCACAAAAAGACAGCTGAAGAGCTTTGGAGAAACACACAGTGCCTTACCCGGGCCCGCTCCAAGCTCCTTCTCTGCTCATGAAACGCAGCTGGACTTTTCAGAGCTGTTGGAAAGAAGAAAAATGTCAAAGAGGAACAGCTCCAGAGAGGAGCTTTCTGACCCTTCTGCCTGCGTCTCCTCCTCACCAGGCTCAGTGACTCTAACCACCAGGCCCATCTGCAGAGTCACTGCCTCAGTCCAGGCCCCCCTCACCTCTCTGACCACATTCCCACTAGCGTTTCCTACCTGGTCTCCCTACCTCAAACGTCTTTCCTCGCTAAACTGTGATTTAAGCCTCAGCTTTTCTGTCTGTAAAATGGATACAATACCACATCCCTCACAGAGTGGCTGTGAGGAAAGTACTTTGTAGCTGAAAGTAGCTTAAGAAAAGTAAGCTCTCCATTTCTGCTTTTGTGGCTGTAGCTCAGGACCTTTCTTGATTGACCTGATTTTCCCTAAGTGCAGATTTAACCACCTACTGTCCAGGCTAGGCTCCAACATCGACTCCTGTCTGGCCATTAAAGCTCTTCACCATCTGGCCCCAGACTAGCTTTCCAACCTCATTAGACATTCAGTCCTCCTCTGTCAGCGAACTAGCCTCTCAAGCCCTCATCACAGCACACCATTTACCACTTCCATGTCTTTGCACGGGCTGGCCTGAGTGCCTAAAATACCTTCCTCCTCCTCATCTCTTCCTTCAGGACTCAGCTTAAGCACCATCTTCTACATCAGGATGTCAAATTCAAATAGTTGTTTGGTCACTTTTCAGTTGGGTCCAACTGTTCCTGACCCCATTTGAGGTTTCCTTGGCAAAGATACTGCAGCAGTCCACCATTTCCTCCCCCAGGTCATCTTACAGATAAGGAAACTGAGACAAACAGGGTTATACTGGGTCACACAGTAGTTAAGTGTCTGAGGCTGAATTTGAACTCAGGTCTTTCTGACTCCAGGCCTAGTGCTCCATCCACTGTGCCACCTAGCTGCCCAAATAGGACAGAGGACAACTAAACTGCAAGGATCCTTACAGGTGCACATTTAATTTTTTTTTTTAAAAATCCACACATTAACCTTATCTGTGTTGTGCTTTTATTAATTTTGTTAAATATTTCCCAATTGCTCTTCCCAATCTTAACAAAATGGTCACCACACCAATACTCGTCAAAATAAATATTCGAAGCCAGCTCTCCCCCGGCTCCTGGTCTGGCATTCCCCTACACTGTCCATGAATCCTTTTTCTTTAACTTCTACCAGGAATTAGGCATTTCACTTGACTGGGTTGAAGTATTACATGTCACAGTGTTACTCAAATTAGCCTGTACCTCATCTCCAAAGAGCTTGTCCAAGCATTTTACAGCTACTATTTACTTAACCATGCCAAGACTCACCGGGCAAGAGCTGGCTCCAGGAGCTTAGGGGGCAGTGGAGTTAGAGACCCTGAGTGCAAACCCTGACTCTGTCAGCTCACTCTCGGGCTGCTTTTGGGCTCGCATCCCTCACTGATGACCAGAGCCTGTGAGGTCCCCCTGTGATCCTAGGGCTTTCGAGGTCCCTTCCGGCTCCAAGTCTAGACTCTCGTGCCTCACTGAGGTGAGGCATCCACTCTGGGCGCCTCCACTCTCAATACAACCCAGTACAGAGGCTGCCTTCTGGTTCCCATGGAGGCTCCAGAGCAGCTTCTGAGGGTGGGGATGATACAAGACCCAAGCAGCTCTCAACAGCCTTGCTGTGAGTCCAGAAGGACAGTGACAGAGGGACCGTGGTTTCAGACACCTCTCTGGCAGATGAGGGGCAGCAAGTCTTGACTCACTACAACTAAGTGGGGAACAACAGGGAGGAGAGTGAAATGTACAAGACTGTGGTTAGTTTCACATCTGGGCAGAGGGGTTTCAGAGCAATTGTGAAACCACGGAGACCGCTTCTGCTCTGGAACTGGCTGGCGTTAGGAAGGAGGAACAAGGCCACTCCCTGGCTGTAGCCTCCAGGTCTCCTCTCCCTTCCGAGGGCCGAGTCTTGCGTCTGATCAGCTCAGCTGCCTCGGCTCATCAGCAGAAGGACAGTGGCCGTTCATTCAACACATACTTCAAAAGCTTATCTGTCGAGGTGGTTAATGTGTCTTCAAAGGAGAGCTCACATTCCCAGCTTTCAGCAGCAGGGGGCGTTCTGCGTTTATCAAAAAGCCAGAAGACCTACCCCGCCTCCTCCCAGAATACTCACACATATACAGAGTAACAAGTTAGTCTGAAGAAACAGACTTTACATTTCCCTCTGGTTAGCCAATCAATCAATCATTCAGTAACCATGGCACAAACGCAGGGCCTGCAGAGATCATCTAATCTAAACCATTCATTTTACAGATGAGGAAACTGAGCCCAAAGAGGGCCAGGTCACCCAGCCGGTGAGCCGCCAATCAGCATTGTCGTCATCCCCCCCCCCCCCCCCCCCCCCCCCCCCCCCCGCCCTAGGTTGACTGCCTTGTAGTCTTGGCTCTATATGGGCCAGGTATCCTGGTATAGTAGGAAGGGCACCAAAGACGAATCAGGATATCGGCCTAGATCTTGCCCTAGCCTTACCTCTAACGTGCTGTGTGATAAAGTCTGTCTCCCACTCCCCACCTTCCTGAGCAAATAAGTGGAAATAAGAGAGATACCCATCAACTGGGAATGGCTGAACAAACTGTGGTACATGAATGTTATGGGAAATTACTGTGCTGTAAATGAATACAGAGAAGCCTGGACAGATCTATGTGAACTGACGCAGAGCGTACTACAGAGCCAAGAAAACAAAGCACACAGTACCCAGGACAGTGCACATGGCGAGAACCATGGATACAAGTCAAGAGTGAGAGCTACAGATTCACAAGGAACAAGCCTTGCTCCAAAGCTGAGGGACAAGAAGGCACCTGACCCCGTCCTTCCAAGAGGTGGGAGGCCCACAAATGTGGTATACTGCACCTAAGACTTTTTCCAATGGATGATGAGTTATGCTGATTTCTTTTCCTCTTTTTTCTTTAAAAAAAAAAAGTTACTTGTTATGTGGCTGTTTGGGAAAGGGGTGGGAAGTGATACTGAGGGAAATTATGGTGATGTTAAAAAAAATGACATCAATAAAAACTTGTTCTGAAAAGAATTAGAGATCTTTTAATGTCCCCTCCAGTTCTAGGAATCTGTAAGTAGAAGGTAAAAATAACACCAACATTGGAGTGTGCCATTTCACTAAAACAAGTTACATGACATAGATCCAAAGGACAAATTATTACATTTTGTATGCAAAGTAAAAGAGTGGGCACCACTGATGAGGAGAGGTCCTGCCAGCTCTGCTGCAGAAGCTCGTCCTGGGGCTTTATGTGCACTCTGTACAAAATCTTCTCTTTGGTAGCTTAGCTTAACTGGTTAATAATGACAAGGATGAAGGAAAAGAGAATCAGAGAAACGGTATGTGAGTTTTACACGGCACTTTAACGTATTGTGTGTGGTGGTGTTGTCATTGTTATTTTTTAACAAAAAACTTTGCCAACATAAGCTCATTTGATTCCCCACAAAAAATCCATATGGTGGGTTCTATTATTACCCCCATTTTACAGATGTGGAACACGAACCTAGGACTTGACCACAAGACCAGTCCACTACCTACTGTGCTCTACTGCATCACAGTCATGTGCTTCAATGTGTTTGATCATGTGTGGACCAGTTACTTTCACTCTCTATGGCTGTCAACTCTATCCCTGGCCTGACTATATCCTCAGTATCAAGGAAAAATTATTACAAATGCCACTTGGGGGGGGGGAGTCCAAGTATACACTTACTAAAGGTAGGCCACAAAGGAAAGGATATTACTAATAAATACCAACCAGAAACTCCTATCAAAAGAAGGACACTGTTACATAAGAGAGGGGTTTTTCCCTCTAGCTCTGAGGAAAAAAAACACTTGGTAAATGAGGACGAAGGGCCACATGGATGCAGGCCTGAGTTCAGATGAGGAAGTGAATCTGTTCAATAAGCAGAAGGCATGCACTTGATTAAGTAGGCTACCTTGGCTGACGAAGGGCACAGAAGGCCATAATCATTACAGATGCATTTGCAGAGATGAATTCTGCTGGTGAAAAGCTTTCTTGGCTTGTACAAATTGATGCAGAGTTAAAAAAATAAAAAGGCAGAATCAGAACAACACTCAATCAACCACAATGTAAATAATCAATCAGCAAGCATTTATTAAATGCCTACTACATGCCAGGCACAGTACTAGGCTATGAACATACAAATACCAAAGCGGGCCAGCCATTAGCTCCCATAAGTCTGACTGTGTGATCTTTGTGGTGATGACCTTCAGTCTCCCATCACCAACTACTTACATTTTAAAGAAGGATGACTGTGCAGAACAGTGCTCGTCATCCCCATCCCCCTGACAGACTTGCAGATTCCTGTTCAAGGCACCGCCCTTCTCCAGGTCCTCAGGATCACTCTTCACACCTCACTCTCCCTCACCCCACGTGGCCAATCAGTTGCCAAACGTTCCCATTTCTACCTTCATAATACTCTCCCGTCCACGCCTTCTCTCTCTTCATGCGTCCACCACTGTAATTTTGTCTTTCGTCACTTCTTTCCCAGGATTTCTGCATCAGCACCCCTAATAAATCTCCCCGTCTCTACTTGTCCCCCCACCAGTCCATCCTTCACACAGGTGACAAACCGATTCTCCTCAAGTGCAGATCCGATCGTGCCATTCCTACACTCAGCCAACTCCACTGGCCACTTAACGGCCTCCAGGATTAAAAAGTAACTCCCAGGCACCTTCCAAAACCTCTCACAATGTCACCTCGATTTACACCTCACTAAGGTAGTCTCCTCCCTCCTACAACCTGCAATCCACCCAAAAGAGCTCTAGCCAGAGCTCTCCGCTCTCCACGTCTCTCTGTCTCTCTCTTCACAAGGCAGCTCAATCACCACCATGTACAAGAGGCCCTTCCTGGGCTCCACACCCAAACGCTTCTGGGCCTCCTTCCTTCCCTCGTATTTTGTTGTTTATTCTTTGTATTTAGTTTTATATTTGTGTGTGTGAGTGTGAGTG